GGAAACATCATAAACTCCTTTAGTTCTTATTATCTGGTTTTACTTTATTTAAATGTGTTTTTTTAAGCAAGCAAAACATAAAAACTTCCCATACTGTGATTGATGACCTTTCTCATAGAATCTGTGAACAGGAACAACAGAAGAATATTGGAGCAATTAAGAAGTTTCTGCAGAGGCTGTACACATCAAAATGACTGGGACAGGCATTCAGCTGGATCATTGCCCCTTATACCTCAACTACTGTCAAATCAACTCTAACAGCACCCATGAAGACTATTTTAGGCACATCAGCAAAATGCCACAGTGAACTTTGAGCAGCAATTAAAGGTATAAAATATATTGGCCTTGCAGTAACTTAAGTTGAGCTCCTCAGTAACATCTGTCCAGGCACTAATATCTTACCATTTACTATTTTTCTTGCCTTACAGATATTGGCTGTGAAGATAACACTCAAATTTTTTCACACAAGCCCCAGACTTTTTAATGTGTAAAAGCTAAACTAACCATAATGACATAGAACATTTGTGTGGACACTCTCCCTTTGAAATGCTAGTTAATAATGCAAGTAATTCAATGGAATGGAAAGAAATTTAGGCCAGATGGCAATGAAATGAATAAGTCAATTGCATATTAATATCTGCTGTTCTGGAATTGTTTTAACATCTTTTTTAGTAATGCAAGACTGGAAGACACCTTCTTGGGCACTGAGATGTGCTCTTTCTTGATGATATTGTCATCTACAGCCTCTTTCCTGTACTTACCATACTGTTTTGATGCAGTGAAGTTCTTGCCCTCATTGCTTCCATTACAGGGCTATCCTAAAAAAACATTGGCTTTAATCCTTAGAATGTTTTTAATAGAGCCCTAGAATAGCTGACTGAGAGAAGCCTCTGGAGGTTATCTGCTTGAGACCTCGTTTGGAGCAGGGCTAGCACGGAACAGGCTGCTCAGGGCCCTGCCCATCAAGTTTTTAATATCTCCAGGGATGAATATTCTTTCCATTGAAATCTGAAAATGTCAGTGCCAAAACTGTGCTCTAGCTTGAATAGGTCATCTTGTTGTCCAGAGCTTGTACCTTCATTTAATTTATAAAATAAAACCATATTACTTCTCAGCTTTCATTTTTGTAAGAGGAGGATTCCCTCTTTCCACCTTGTCTCTATATTTGTTTTCATTTTTTCAGTCACTGACAACCAGCTCACTTCCAGATAATACCTGAAGAGTTTTAAAGTTAACTTCTTTGTATTTTGTGTTCTTGTGTCTTGTCTCTGACCTTATGGTGGCATCTCGTACATCACTGGTAACGTATGAATTCAGCCCAGTTACAGTTTGGGTAGTTCTGCCATGAACAATGCAGAACTTTGATTTTTCTCATTCTGAATGTAGTCTCTGGATAAATGCTTCTGTTTTGAGGATGCAAGGTGAATCGGTGATATTTTTCCAGGTAGCTACCCCTGCAGCTACTCCAGTATAAAGCAGTATATAACACCTTAAGCCAAAAAGTTTTATTTGTTTTCTTCTTTGTGGATTGAGATGTGGTTTGTTTTTGTAAAAAAATATATTTATTTGGACTGACAAGGTAAGAAACTTTCCAGGATCTTCTCATGTTCTTTGGTGCTGATATATTCTGTAAACTGAGATTTGAAGATACATTTTTCAAGGGGATGGAGTATTTCAGCCTAAAAAGGAGTTGGTGATACATATTATGCATAAAAGGGTTTCAGAAAAAGTTAAATAGCATCAAGTGGGTACTGGTAATGTATTTTAAAATCAGTTTGTTTTTTCTTCTTTTTGTCCCCTTACGACACTCCTACTTTCCTTTTAAATTTTATGGTTTCTCCTATAAGTACAAGAATTGTTTCACTATATTTGAGTGGTTTCTAAAGCAGGCAAAATGACCAATCCCCATTTAATGAAGAGAAACATGAATTTCAGTTTATTTGTGCTCTTTAAATCCTCTTCTTCTCAAGCTAAAGTCTAATTGCAATTTATGAAAGAATGTTCTCTGAGTGTAGACAGAAGCCTGAAGCGGCAGGAAAGAAAAATAAACTCTGGGCTATAGAAAGCACAGTCTAGAAAGATCTTTGCTAGCTAAGTTATTAGCGAATTGAGGCAATCATGAGTGTCCTTGTTTCTGCAACCACATAGGAAAGCCACAATAAGGACGAGGGACAGTTTTTCTTGAGGGAATGGTAAATGCAGAATTTGAATCAATGCTCACTGATGTCAAGGGCCAGAGAAGTGAGATGCAAATAGAACTGGCTATTGACTGGGTGACAGTGCTGCTGCTATCATTATGCATGTGATAACTGTACCATGATACTAGCAATGTTGTACATTTCTGTGCAATCCATACTGCTTGTTTTCAACTTAGTCTTTGTGATTGACCTCTTCTTTCTCTAAGGAGCTACAACCACTGGGCTTTTTTTTTGGCTGTTGATGCAGGTACCTCTCAGTAAATGTCTAGGTTGAATGTGAAACATTATTTATCTGCTAAATGAGGGAGCTTTCTTTCCAAGAGATAGCCTGTTTCTTTTCTGAATGCATACAATATAAAAGTGTGTGCCATTATTAATAAATAAGGCATTGGGTAGGCTTTGTCTGGAAGTCTTATTGAAAGTAGCTATTACTATCCAGTAACTTGAGGAATGCATAATTGCCTTTGGGATATTGAAGCATGGAATAATTAGAGTGCAAGTTTGAGAAAACAGTGTTGTAACTCCAGAGAAGGACGATTTGCCACAACTGACTAATTTTTAGGCTTAATTTTTTTCCTGATTTATCCATGAATACTGCACAATTAAGTGTTTCAGAATACAAATGAATTATCAATTGTTTTGTGTAGAGATGTTTCAAAACCATGCTAATGCCAGTTATCTAAAATCAATGGTGGTTGACTCTGCCCTTCAGTTTTCTGATATTGCTATTTAGGATTTTAAGATTATTGTGGGCAAACTAGTCAGTAAACAAATTGACTGCTATTGAAAAGAAATCTTGTGTGGCAATGCTAAGTTCAGATGCAGCATCCGTTGTCTCATTAGAATTGAGCATCTCTCAATTCTGTCAAGCTTTAATCTTTTCACAGAAAGTGTAATTGGGCTATAGCTAGTTACAAACAGGAAAGTTTGTCTGGCTGCTTAGTCTGGCTACTGCTAGGGAAGACTGGAGCAAATGAGCTTTTGTGATTATGAAACCTTCAGTGCCTGCTTGTATGCTTCCTCTTTCAGTAGAGAAAGGGAGAGCTGGACTTAGTTTTGCCCTTAGTTCTGTTTCCTTCCATCTCCAGGTCTATTTGCTGTAGGGTCAGTCGTTTACAGCTGTGGAAAGTATGGGAGGAAGAGTCTCTTTTTTTCTGTATTGTTTTTCAATCACATCTGTATACTTCTCTGTACATGCGAAACATATATTTACTAGGAAATGTGTGGACTGAAGATAAGGGCTTCTAAAGGTGTCATTAAAGCAATCTGCAAAAGCTACAGTGAGAACTTCTACCCAGGTCCTTCAGTATTATCTGATTGATAATCCCAGTACATCTTAATCTGTCACAACTTTAAGAGTAAATCTGTTATCTTGCCTGGAAAACAGATAATAGAGTTATAGGACAAGAGAGGATTTTTTTTTTTAGTTTGCAAATTCTCAAACTGAAAATCTTTCAGCAACGTGTACTTGCTCTTCAAATCTCATCTTGTCTCACACGTGTGAATGTTACAATTGGCAATCCAGAGCTCTTTATATGTTAGGAACTGTGCATAAAAATTAATTCAAGCAAAATGTAATTTATAAGAATAATAACATACTTTCCAAATGTTTCCTGTGTTAATCATGGTGAAGACAGTTACTATAGTACCACTGCTAGATTTTATTGTAAATAAAGTAATTCAGTGGTACATGTTCTCTTCAGAGTGTTACTGTTTGTTTAAAAGAAGTGAAGGATGCCAGTAGGAGATGGTAAGACAACCTTTTGTTTTCTGTTGAGTGAATTCTATGCTTAGTAACATTTTGATACAAAAGCAATAGAGCAGTGTTTATTTTCAGGAAAAGGTTCTGAACTTTGCTATTTGTCAATGGATATTTCTAGAATTTATGTACATATAAGAAGCAAAAAGAGTAAAGCATGTGTACCAAGTTTTCTGCCAAAATAAATAGTAGACCCAGTACAAATAGTTCACCTAAGTTATTAACTGTGTGGTAAATAAACACATTGAAGTTTGCTTACTACTGTTTACTCAAGGCATTTTGCTGCCATGAGGCTGGATATACCACTGAGACTTCCAATTAAATGTCACTGAGGAGCCTGTGAAAAGGTTTGACTCCAAAAACGCACACAGGAGTCATTGGGCAGTTTTATTGGTAAATGTGGTTGCAACTTGATTACAAATTTCCAAAACCAGATTCCTGATATATTAAAAAGGGTTCAGAATAGTTTGTGCATACCAGTCTTGAAGGATGTGTTAAGGCCTTTGTAGCACCTTTATAGCAGCAAACACACCCTCCTTACTAAACAGGTACTTCCATAGGTGAAAACTTTACTCACTGAGTTGCTTGAGATGAGAATAACATTCATGATGTAGCTGCCATGCCCTAGATTCTTATAATCCAGAGGGATTCTACTTCAGTTAGGTTTTGCTCTTTTTCTGTTGGTCCATCTCCAGCCTTCTGTGTTAATTGCCTTCATTCTGTTTTTCCTGCTGGATGTTGCATTGATATATCTGCTTTCATGCTTTGGACCATCATTTAATTCAGCCTGTCATTTACATTACTACTGAGTTAAGTAAAACCTTTTATTCAATGTCTGCTATCAGCTTTTTCTTATAGTTGAATTGTTAATAAGTTATTGTCAATAAACTAGATCCAGAGGTATTTGTCGGTGTATTAAAGGAATTTTTACATGACTGAAGAAACTCCAATCAATTTCTTACTAATCTCTAATCTGGCACACAATGAAGTTGTGGTCAAAACAGAGATGAAACACCTTGACCTGGCTCTTCAGGCACCTGGAAGAACTCGGAAGCAGATGGGAGCTGGCATAAGAGGATAGGTGGGGAGTCTCCCTATGGAGAGGAAGGGTTGAAGAACTCTGCAAAACCAGCTTTCAGCCAGTGGTTGAGACAGAGCTTCTGGCAGGATATAGCATCCAGCATAAGTATAGGTGTGTTAGATTTTAGCACAAGCCCGGCTAGGTAGAAGATTTTCCTCCATCCAGTGAGTTATCTTCGCATATGTTGTTTTTCTGTAGTTTTTATATAAACCATTTTGTAAAATTTACAGATTTGAAATGGAGGCAAAAGGTGAAGTTGACCTTATTTCCAGGTTAATAAAGCTGTCTGCCGAGGTTTTGGTCCAGACTCTTGAAATGTTAAAATTCACCTTATTTGTTAATGAGTAGCATCACAGCCTTTGTTTTCTTTCCCATTGTGTGCAGTGTTCATTAGAGCAAAGTAGGAGAAAGCAATAAAAACACAAGTGGCCTTTTTGGCACCTGGGTTACATGTGAAAAAGAACTGCTAAATCATTTCAACTCCAAGTGTTAATTACTTTGCTGCACATTGGCACATTAAATGTGTAGCAAAAATATATTTCTTTTTAGGTGCTGTTTGTGTATGATGTAGTTTGCCAAGTGTATCTTGTTGAATTTTGTGAGTTTTCTTTTTGTAGTCAAATTTTATTTAATTTCATGTACCAGGTGTCTCTAGTGGAAATGTGTGTCTTGAACTGAGCCCTTAATGCTTGCTTAATTTCAGTATGTGAAGAAGAGCTTTCACAAAATCCAACTGGAAGAATTCTTTAGGTCAGGTGAAGTCTTTTAATTCATAGGAAAAGTATCTCTTAGTGTGGAAATTCCTGAAAGCCATTTTACGAGGATGCAGGAGCAATCCTGCTTCATACTGAAGTGGGAACTTAGAACTGATTGTCAGATTCAAGTTTGTGTGACTGCAGCATCTCATTATATGTATGTGTGTGTATGTGTATGTATATGTGTGTATATATATATATATATATATTACATAATTCCTAACAGTGATCCTATATAAGGTCCTGTCTTGTACCTTACTTATTGTCTAGCATTTGTAGAGCCTTAATTTTCCTTCTGGATAAAATCAAAGCTGGATCTTTTCATTCCTGTAATAATGCAATTCACATCTGTATGAAATATCTCTTAAGGCTCATGTGACATAAGAGGCAATCACAGCTAAAAGAAAATGGATAGACTGTAAAACGGCTCCTAGAAGAAAAGTAATTTTCTGAGATTCATGAATTGCTCTCTAATTCACAAATAATGCAGTATGTATTTAGGTTGCTATAAAGAGTAATTACTGAATACGGAGTTCAGAATTCATAATAAAGCAAAAGCATATCTGGAATTGTTGAGTAAAGATGAACTATAAAAATACATACTTCTAATATTTAACTACTTCTCTTCATAAATCGCTTGCTAATAAATGCAAAACAAAGGGCATCAGAAGAAAAATCACTTTTTTAAGGAAAATAACTTTCAAAACCACTTTTGTCCATCATAAATTCTTCTGCAAATAGTGGGTACAAAGTCTGTTTTATGTATTGAAAAAAAAAAAACAACCCTCAAACTGCTTTTCCTTCTCTCTCTTCTGTTGTCAATTAGAAACAAGAATCAACAAAACTGGATAGATGGAAGATAGACTGTTAGTCCAGTCTTGATATAACTTAATAGTGAAGACTTCATTAGATTCCTTAAATATGAAGGCACCTGCAGAATTGTTAACAGACTTATTGCAACAAGGTTAAGATGGAACAAAGGCTCTTGGAAAGCTACTGTGTTATAAGATCCAGCTAGTACAGCTCTTCAGAAGTGAGATTCTGTGTGTACCAAAAGCCTACAAGAAAAACACAGGCCTATATGTAATTCTGGCTGCTAGCAGATGTGATTGTAAAGCCCTGGTTCAGTTCTGTTTTAAAGCAGCTTTGGAATTCGTCTTGTCATTGTGGTTTAAGCCCAGATGGTAACTAAGAACCATGAAGCCATTTGCTCACTTCCCCTTTTTGTTCCACTCTGGGTGGGAGGGAAGGGTGTAAACAGCATGGGTTGAAATAAGAACAGTCCAGGAGAGTATAATATAAAAGTATGATTAATAATAATAATGTTAAAGGAGATAACAAGGGGAGATAATAGAAAACTAAAAAGGGAAAGGAGAGAAAACCAAATCACTAAACACAAGCGATGCACAATACAATTGCTCTACACCCACTGACTAATGCCTGACCTGAGCAGTGGTCTGGCTCCTCCGGGTGACTGATTCTAGTTTATGTACTGGGCATGACGTACTGTGGTATGGAATACCTCTTTGGCTAGTTTGGGTCCAGTGTCCTGTCTCTGCTGCCTCCTGGCTTCTTGTGCCTCTCCTCACTAGCAGAGCATGAGACTGAAAAGTCCCTGATCAGAGTAAGTGCTACTCAGCAACAGCTAAAACGTCAGTGTGTTATCAGTATTTTTCTCAAATAAAGCTGAAACACAGCACTGCACCAGCTACTAGGAAGGAGAAAAATAACTGCTACAGCTGAACCCAGGACGGTCATGAAAATTGTTTTATTTAGGCAGAAAGCACATGGAAACTCAGTCTCAAGTGTTTGAAGAGAGCTTCTAAACTGAGCTTTGATCATTGATTTTACTGGCATTGAAGTTAATACAAGCTTCATTGGAAGCTGAAACACCTGTGCTTTCATCCACAAAATATAGCGCAGAAGAAGAAACGCTGCTAGTGTTAAACATCACTGGAAAATGCAGAGGAGCAGAAACATTGTTCAAATGTAAAATACTAAGACAAAATATTTACATTTTATCAAAACTGGGGTTTAAAATTAAGCTGTTCTGATATTTAAATATTTAGCTACCCACAAGAATATTTTGACTACTCAAAGTTGCTTAGTTGTCAGTAATTATTTACTAACCTTATCCTTCAGGGTTGATAGACATACTTGTGTCCTAGTGTCCAAAACACTCTGCCTCTACCAGAGCAATATACTTCCAGATATAGCTAAGACAAAATGCCTTTGAAAAGTCTCAGAGAGATAGGATGTTTCGCTGGGACATGGGGAGCATGAAAAGATCAAGTATTCTCTGCTGTATTTTGATGAGTCAGCTCATTTGGCAGCTGATGATTCTTGGTACAATTGTTTTTTTTCATGATAACCTACTGACGGTCTCAATGGTGGTTTTATTCCAATGAGGACTAGAGGACTGAGCCCCTATCAACAGCCTCTATTACTGTTGACTCTGAGTTTGCTTAATCTACACAGGTGTTATCAAAGCATATTTTCCCAATTTTTTATTTTCAATATCCTTGATAGGACCCTCTGTGTCTGATGTAAGAGCGCGTAAGTTTTTGTTATTGGGGGCAGGAATTTTTGAAACTCAGTCTTGTTGTTACTGCTCCAACAGCTTTTGCGATGGTCAGTATTGCATGGGTGGAGTAACACAGCGATTTTCCAGACCCCATCAAGAGCACAAGGACACACGGAGTGAGTGGAAATAATAGCAGTGACCATCTGTGTTCTTTGTTGTTGTCAGTGTAGAGTCAGTGAACCTGTTCAGTCTTGTGAGCCTGATATGCATCATGGCAACAGAAGAACGATTATAAGCAATGCAAGTCAAACAATATCAATGATGTATAGAAATGAAAGGAATTCTCTGTTTCTGAACCCCAAAGATAACCTTTAAATAGCTGTTGGTAGCTGTATTTTCAGGACTCTAAATTCTTCATGTTTCCCTGTCTATTCTATCTCTAGGGATGAAGCCAGGAGAAGAAACATCTGTGGAAGCTCAGTGCAGGCAGTATTAGCAAAGTTCTAGAGAGGTAAGTGGCTTTGAATTCCTTATTAAACTTGCTAGATTGTAGTGAGACTAAAGCTAAATGTTAAGGCCACAAAGACAGGGTTAGGAAAAGTAGAGGCTGTTTGTCAGAATAACTGCAGTATTCAACAAAGTATGCTTAAAAATATGTAATCATAGGTCTGGCTTTCTTTTGGCTGCTTCCTGTATTTCAGAAAAATTTAGGTTAGAAACCAACGCTGTAGCTTCTGATCCTGAATGAATCATGGTATTCAGGAAGTTACAGAAGGGTGAATTAAGAGTTGGCATCTTTTGAAATCTGTAAGTTTTGATTCCTGGTTGACAGTAGCATCTCAAGTCCATGTTAAAGCTAGAGTAACATTTAGGATCAGGAACAGTAGAACTAACAGCCTGGATGACTGCTAGAAGAGAGAATTTTTGGAAAGCAAAACCTAGCACCAGGAATTTTAAATTACTTGATCTTAGGTTTTGGGTTATGATAGGGTCTTAAATTGGTAATATGTGGAGTCAGGAATAGCAAGGACAACATAAAGTGAATGTTACAGTATTTGTCATATTCCAAAGAAGTTAACTGAGGATTGGTAATGGATGGTTTCCTATTGCTTATTCTTATGAGTTAGTTGTAGTAGGCTCTTGTAACTTCATTGGAGTTTCTGAGTATCTTTGAAAGTTCTCAGTTGGAAAACAAATGTGTACAGTGTTGATAGTTGACAGGTACAAATTCAACTGGCTGAAGCCGTTTTCTCTTTAGACAATTGCTGATTTTTTGAGCTTGTATTTGTTACAAAAGGACACTTCGAGTTATGACCTCTCTCCTGGATGGTTTGTTTTTTAAACCAGTGACAAAGTTGCATATCCGGAGATTGCCGTTTCTCATATGCTCTTAGAGCCAAATTTTGTATCAAAAGTTTTGTATATTGGCTTTCAGTCTTATTTGTAGATTCCCAGTAGCATCCTCTAGCCATTTTCATTGGTTTCACTTAGAAGCTTCCTCAAAGTCATGGCTTTTTGCAGGACATATTTTCAAGACAGAGTTTCTAAGAAGTAGTAGTAGAAAGTATAAAATTCAAATCAACTGACTGCTGACTACATGGCCACTTAATAAAGAACTGTTCAGAGTTTATGTGAATCTTGTGGTGTTGTCAATAGATTATTATTTATTGTGATGCCACCTGAATCCTATGATGTTGAGGTACCCCCACATCACAGATTGTTCTTATCTCTTGACTGTTTAATTGGCACATCTTAAATTATGTTATGCAGATGTGACAACTTGAAATGTTTTGTACAAGAACGGATGCCCTGTTGCACAAAAACATGATACAGTTTTTCCATTTAAGGAGTCATTTAAGAGCTTAAATGGTGTTATTCTCTTAGGCTTTTCTTTTCCAAAGGAAGTGGCACCAGTGGATGTCTCCAAATGTTTTTGAAATTCAGTATGAGTATGTGTTTTCCTATCAAAATATCAAATATTGGAAAACAAGTGTGACAATTTCTGCTTCCTAGTAACTGGAATAAGCATTGGATGTGAAATTTCCTTAAGACATACAGGGCTGGTTTTAAAAGGAAAAGCTTATTCGCAAATAAACTGTTTACAGTATGTAATGAAATGAATAATATAATTCTTGTGGAAGGTGGACTTTTTAGCTGCCTCTTTCACAGAAGGTAAAGAGAAACATTAAAAATACATTTGCCACTGATAGGTTGAATTCATTTTAGCTGGCATAAATAGGACAGATGAGCTATTCAAATGTCTGATGAGCACTATATTATGAAATATTTATCACCTTCTCATGGTCATTGCATGAGAGACCAATAATTTGTTTTCTCTCAGCACTGGTATTTTGTGGCGCTTATAATAAATTATACATTGCAAGCTTACATCCTTCACCCTTTTTCTATTTACCTATCTAGTCTGAGATCTCATTCATCAAAATGTAGCTGCCTCTGGGACAAAAATGAGGCTACAAATTCATGTATTCTAAAAAATCATGGAATTTATAATGCATAATGGTACTGGGGGCAAAATGGATAGAGAGTATCATACCAAACAGCTGACCTTTAAAGGGAGGAAATGGAAAGAGCAGAATATTTAGAGAAGTATAAATATATGTATAGGCAGATGTTCACCTTGGTCGTGCTGTCTGCTGATTTTGATTTAGGATAACACCTCTGAACAATCAAAGCTGTTCAGATTTTTGCTTATTACCAAGCTTAAGCCAGTGTCATGGATTTAGTTCTTATTATGACCACTGAATTCCCTAAAGTGTTCTATGTTGGAGTACTAGAAATTGTCTTTTATTTGCTTTGCATTGATGCAGAGGATTTAATGAAGGAAATATTAGGATGAAATGAAAAATAGCATTCCCAAATGATAGTTTTTAGCATTAAAGACCCTATATCTAAATACTGTAAAGACAAGAAGATGTATTTCAAAAAGTAAAAACTTGGTTCTGGGATTGCTTTAAAATATTAAGATAATTGGGACCCTTTAAATCTCAAACATCATTCTTTTTCAATGTGGGGGAGAAATAATCCTCTTATTTGTATTGCCAAATTTTAGTCAGGGTCCCCTGTTTTTCATTCTCAAGAATTCCTGCTTAGGACATTAAAGCAGAACTGTGCTCCTGCACAAGAAATGGTGATGTTGTCTTGAGCTGTTCTGTGTTAGATAGTGAGTGTTTTTGTCTTTCTTGCTGCTTCCAACCAGAAATCATTTGGCCTCAGTGTAGAGATAAGTCCACCCATTGCCTTTCTCAGCTTCATCAACACTCTGATTTAGTTTCCTGAACAAGTTCATTATTCACTGCTCAAAAAGTCTTTAGAGATTTATCATTTCTGCAAAGTGCATAAGCCTGTAAATTAATTTCTCATAACAAAATCATTCAAAATGATCACTCTACAGGATTTTTAAATGACCTTCTACTTGGATGTTATAGCGAAAATAAACCTGGAGCCTTTCTCAATCAATCCAGTTGAAATACTGTATACATTTTGACCATAGAGTCCCCTGGTAAGGTACGGTTTTGGAGTTTGTGTTGCCCAGAAATGTGTGAAATTTATTAATTTATTTTTTAATGAGAAACTTAAGCATGTTAATTCTTGTGTCTATGGAACATAGTGTTTCACTTTAACAGTGTAGGGATCAAGATTGCAGGTCTTTGAAAGCTGCACTTGTATTTTTAGGAATCCCAGAACTTTTAAAGGCACAGTAGACTTGATTTGCTGATCCCACATTTTAACACTTTAACAGGACCAAATTTTAGTTCCATAATTTCAAGTGCTCTTAAGGGGGCTGAAGCACCTCTCGTATGAAGACAGGCTAAGTTGGGGCTGTTCAGCCTGGAGAAGAGAAGGCTGCATGGAGACCTCATAGCAGCCTTCCAGTATCTGAACAGGACCTATAAGGATGCTGGAGAAGGGACTGTAGTGATAGGACAATGGGTAAGGGTTTAAACTTCAACAGGGGAAGTTCAGAGTAGATATAAGGAAGAAGTTCTTTACTGTGAGGGTGCTGAGGCACTGAACAGGTTGTCTGAAGAAGTGGTAAATGCTCCATCCCTGGCAGTGTTCAAGGCCAGGTTGGACAGAGCCTTGGGTTTCAGTCTAGTGTGAGGTGTTCCTGCCCATGGCAGGAGGGGTGGAACTGGGTGATCTTAAGGTCCTTTCCAACCCTAACTGTTCTATGATTCTGAGCATGTGCTGATAAATCAGTGTGTGTTAGGTCTGGTAGCAGCAGTGTAGCTCTGTCTTGCTCTTGTGACATCCATAGAAATTCCAGATACCACATAGTCTCCATAGCTCTAGCGTAGCCACAAGCTGGCAATTAGATGCCCCGATGATACCTGTTAAGTCGGAGAACATTGAAATATTAACTGTGTAGTTAAGGTAAACAGACAGAGATCATTGCTATCTGGAATTTGATTTTAAGAAGGTGTGTTTATACGGATATTAAAAACAATTTGCTTGATGCAGGATTTTCCCATTTCCAGGAGAAGGCGGCTTTCAGGTTTGCAGTACCTAATCTACTGGTGTTGTCTCCAATTTACCATTTGTCCATCATAACCCTGTGGTCCCACGGGTATAATTTGCCATTGTATAGATTTTTATTATTCTTTTCTTGGAATCATTCTCAGCATTTCCACTGAACAAAGGTTTGGTTCCTTTCATGAAAATGATGCTGGAAACATATTATGCCAAGAAATATTCCTTCTGACTGTACAGAAAGATTTTCTTACTGCTAATTCCAGAGTGTAGTGACAGTTGCATGAAGATTTTTAGATGTAAGTCTATTCTTAGGAAGAGAGAAAAGGAAAAAAATTACAAAAGTAAAAGTTGTTAGTCCCGCATTGGTAAAAGCTGTTAGTCCTGCATCGGGATCCCTGCGTACTGAGTACTGTGTAAACACAGGGAAAGCATGTGTGTTCTTTGCATATTTTATTAGTACATAATTTAGAATTGATTTAATAACTTTCAAGGAGTTAGTGAGATCATTTGTTGCAAACAAATTATCCAGTAAAACAGTCTTTTCCCTTTAATTGTTTTTGTTTGTATATACACATGCAGATAAATACATATAGACATAACTGCTAAATGTGTTTGCTATTTCTGTACGCAAATTATGCTATCAGCTGGTTTTAGAATTGCTCTGTTTGCAGTTGATGATGTAAGGATGGAATTAGGTACAGAAGAGGAGCTTCACTGTCACTGACTTTCAACACTGACTTGCCCTTTGTGCTCTCAAAAGCTTTCCCTTTCTCTATTCTGCTGTTGTTTCTATAATCAATTACTTCTGCCTGAATTACAATGTGGGTTGTTTTTTTGTTTGGAGCTTTTTTTTTTTGTTTGTTTTATTTTTGCTTGTGATTTGCTTGTTTTTTTCAGGTGAATAATAAATTATGAATAATGGGTAATCACTTCTTCGTAAGGAAAATTTATGGAGTTAATGATGAAAGCTTTTGGACTTCATGAGGAAACCTGAGGTAATGTTGGCCTCATCTAAAA